CGGTAACGAGGGCTCTCTCTCCCTCTCCCTCTGTGTGTGTGTGTGTGTGTGTGTGTGTGTGTGTGTGTGTGGCGGCGGCGGGTGGACGAGAAAGCACTCTGAAGTGCCTAGATCCGCCCTTGCTTTCCTTTGTCACTGGGGAACCGCGCTCTGCCTCCAACGCATGCCCAAGATGCACATAGAAAAGGGGTCGGTCCGGCCGCCCTGTACAGCCGATACCGGACCCAAAAATCATAGAAACATTTTTCAGGGGGCGCCCTGGACCCAAAGAACAGGTCTAGGGTGCCCCATTTGTTTTTTTAATTTCGGGGTTTTGGCCCCTTCCGGACGGGCCTCCTACGGTCCGGCGTCCAGACACCGGACAGCAGACCATCTGGACGCCTGTCCGGATGTCCGGATGGTAGCCATGGTCTTTTGGCTTATGCATTATTCCCATCAAGTCACTTTCCTGCAGTGTACTCCACCGTAGCCAGAGCAGAGGCCTATGCTACTCGACAGCCATGGACTAGTTGTGCTTTCTTATTTCTGTGTAGAACATGGGATGAGCATTTGGTGATGATGTGTGCATGCCAACTCTGTTAAAGTTTCTGCTCTGTAAGCCTGCTCTTTGCGAAGCTATTCACCCTGTTGAAGTGACTTCATGTCTACTCTTGTAGTAGATGAGGTGGTGTGATTCAGTCAGCTCCTCATACTTGTTTCATTTGCTATGATCCTCTCAATGACATCAGCACTGAAGACCTCTGGTAGCCTTTCGGAAATGGAGAGGCGAGGAGTCAGATATGTGGATGGCTATTGTGTGGACAACGCACTTGTACGTTACCAGCTTAACATGCACATTATCACTCCACCTTCTCCAGTCTTCCCCCTGATCCTTCTTGAATTCCTGATTCAAAACCAGAAAAGCACTCGCTCCGATTTTGCATCCACCTCCTCCTCATTTTCCCCTTCCCCACTCACCTGGAGCCAATTGCTGTCCATGGAGTCCTGTTCTCTGGCTGTTCTACTCCTGCTTCTCTTGCTTATCTTCCATCATCCACAACCTTATGCCCATCATCATCGATGCCTTCATCCTTGCCGTCATCAGAGTGTTCAGTTGTTATCATCACCGTCATCATTGTAATCATTGAAATGTATTGCTCGCAAAATGATTTGGCAAGTTCTGAGCTTCTGTTTCTTAGATTGGGAGTCCCATTGCGGAGTCCCATTTCCCGCCCCCTATCAACAGTGAACCCAGGGTTCACTGAAGAGCCCCAAATTCAATTTTTTCAATTTTTTTGTTTGTTTGTTTGTTTGTTTGTTTGTTTGACACTGTTGGTTTGTCTCGTTTTAGAAGTCGTATTGTTATGGTCATGGCTTCATTCTGCTCTGGAGAGCATAAAAAATCCAAATTCAATATTTGACATTATTTCAGCCTTGTTTGCTCAGCATTTTGATATCTCCCGAGTTCCTCTTTCAGCTTTTTTTTTTTTTTTTTTTGGACCATGTCTCTATTTATGTGGGTCATCTTTCTGCAGGGCCTATGCTAATCTTCTCTGTATTGTTTCAATTTTAAGGGATGTCCCGAAAGACCCCTTTCAGTTTTTCAAGCCTGACTGAGCACTGTGGCACAGTAAACTGCTTCCACATGCAACAGGAATAAGGACTGTTTTGTTTTTCTTTTTAAATAGCAGGAATGATGACTCAGTGTTATGCCCCACTGGATTGATGACTAAGTTTGTAGGGGACTGTGAAAGTTGATGTTTGATGAAAAAATGAACTTGAGGTAACACCGTGACAGGTAACAGTTTCCAAAAAACTTAAGACACAGACATTGTGCGAAGGGGCCTGACCCTTACAGCGTGAGCCTATGTATCCAGGAGCTGAATTAAAATCAAACCCTTAAGGACGTTTACTAAAGGATTCCAGGTGGTGTTGGCCACTGTCGGTGCAGATAGCACAAAAAACTTCAGCGTAGGCAGATAGGACCAAGGATTAGGATTAGGGAGATTGGAGCACAGTTAGGAAAACCAGATGGCAGGAGGTGTGGGACAATAAAGACAGAAGGTTTCAGGGATGCAGATGATGTGGGGATAGGAGGTAGAGGGAATGCGAAGCCCAGGTACACATAATGGGAATGGGGTGAGTAAGTAACATGCGGCCAGAGGGGCTGGCAGGGGACCCCTCCCCCCCGTGCCCTGACCCCTTGGGGATTATCCTGCAGCGTGCCTGGGTGCTGCTAGTAAGCCTCCCAACTTGCAGGACAATCCCCAAGGAAAGGCCAAAGGATGGGAGTGGGTGGCACTGAAGCAACACCCCCTTTGAACAGGCGGCTCGAGCCACAAGGGCAGGCTGACTCTCTTCTCTATCTAATCTCCCCCGCTGCTTGCTTCAAAAACTTTGCTTTCCGGTGATAAGCAACCGGACTGACGCCCCCCAGAAAATAGAAGGGGCTGGGAGTGTTTTTTTTTTTTTTTTTAAGAAAAAAGGAAAGAAAAGAAAAAGTGGTGCTCTATGCAGATCAAATGGAAAGAAGAAGAATTCACTCTGTTCAACATCTACGCCCCAAATAATTTAACGGAGAGAGCCTCCTTCGTGACAGAGTTGGGAAACAGGCTCCCACTTCTTGCACAATGTATAGTGGCTGGTGACTGGAATGCCACTCTCGACCCTTCAACAGACCATATATCACGATCTTCCAACACATACAACTCTCAAGAGGCACTACCGATCCAGAAATTGATGATAGACCACAACCTGATAGAGCCCTTCAGAACCATGCATCCCACTTCGGCAGCCTTCTCACTAGTTAAAAAGAACCATGCCCACCACACGGCCTTCTCACGTATTGATTACTTCTTGGTGTCTCAGATACTGATGGGGGCAATCAGGAGTGCAAATGTTCTAACTCTAGCACCCTACCCAGGCCTAGACCACAAGCCGATTGAGCTAACGATCAGCTTTGAACAGTTGGTGAGTAAAGGAGCCAGCTTCCACAAATTAAATAACTCCCTTCTGCTAAGCCAGACTTTCCAGGAAGGAGTACGGCTCTGCTGGCAGGAACAGAAAAATAGCCGCCTGCCTAACAGCGATCGATGGGAATGGTTTCAAGAGAGCTACTCCTCTTTATCGACTTCAACTGCAAAAATATCAAGGAAGCTAGCAGGTATAAGAAAACAGAGGAGACAAAATCTGGAATCGGCGCTAAAAATCGTTGAGTCCAACCTGAGTCTTAACCCATCACCACCACTGTACACTGAAATCTTTGAGAAAGGAAGAGAAGAACTGGTCATGTGGAGGTGGTGGGACCTGAAAGGACTACAAATAAGAGCCAGAATGAACGAATACGAACTTAGTGAGTCAATGTCGAAACACTTTTTTGCCCGCATCAAGGCCAACTTAAGGGCAACTACGATAGAAAGGCTGAAAACTCTCAGCAATACCGAGGAGATTGCGACAACCAGTGAGGGAGTGCTGGGAATAGCAAAGGAATTTTATCGAGAATTGTATGAGACTAAAACTCAAACGCCAGTTTCGCCTACCATAAAGGAGGCAAGACAAAGAATGTTGCAATATCTGGACAAGACGATAACAACTGAGCAAGCGGAAGTCCTAGACAAGCCATTAACAAGGGATGAACTCTTCCAAGCACTCAAGAGCATGAATAATGATAAATCTCATGGGATCGACGAGTTAACCAAGGAATTCTGGGAGAAATTCTGGTCACTCTTAGGAGGAGACTCAATGAACTTCTACAAGGACAGCTGGGACAAAGGGGGTCTAGGCAACCTCTTGAGCAGCAGTGTAGTCACACTGTTGTACAAAAAGGGGGACAAAGAGGACATCAGGAATTACAGACCAATCTTGTCACTAACGCTCCCCTACAAGATTCTAGTTAAAACCCTCGCCGCCAGAATTACGAAATTAACGGACAAATGCTTTCACATCGACCAAACAGGCTTCATCCCAGGGCGGTATATATTGGATAATGTAATGACTCTAAATGAGGCAGTGAACAAAGTCAGACAAAAGAAGGTAAATGCAACAATACTTTTCTTCGACTTTGAGAAAGCATTCGACCAAGTAAATTGGACCTTCATGGACGAGAGCATGGAACGAATGGGTGTGGGACCCAACTTTAGGAAGTGGGTACGAGTTTTGTACAATAATGCCACAGGTTGTGTAAAAGTGAATGGTTTCCTATCGGAAAGCTACTCAATTTCCCGCTCGGTCCGACAAGGGGACCCACTCGCTCCCTCAATATTCATTTTGTAATGGAAGCCATAGCGTCCTTCCTACGAAAGGACCCCTCTATTCACAGGCTCCCAGAAGTCAACGCTGGATTCGCTCACCATATAAAGTTTCCGACTGCGATCATGTTCGCAGACGACCTTACAGTACTAATAAGAGCCTCTAACTCCTCGTTCAAGACCTTGGCTAAAGCAATGGAAGCCTTCAAACTAGCACCAGAGATGAGGATCAACTGGAAGAAGACGATCGGATGGTGGGTTTCAGAGGGGGAGCTTCCTAACCTACAAGGGCCGGAGGCCGCCATGACGTGGGAGACGCCAGACACACCCACCCGCTACCTGGGCATACTCATGACAAGAGACGGGCTGGCGCCACAGATGGCCCAAAACATGTTAACAAAACATATAAACAAACTAGGGAGATGGGGGAACACATTCGCCTCACTAATTGGTCGAGCTTTGGTACTCAACACATCGGTGTTCTCCATGATGTGGTGCATAGCTTCCATATGGACAATACCAGACAACTCAATGACGGAACTCAACCGCATAGCAAGGACCTATTTATGGACAGGAAATCCTAACAAAAAAGGGTCTATCCCGAAAATTGCATGGCATTACATTATTAGGAAACCGCTACAACGGGGCCTAGGGATTATAGACCCTGGATATGCAACAAAGCCCTTCAAGTGAAGTGGATAGTTAAACTCTTATTGAGGCCGGACAATGCATGGAATAAATTGGTGTTAGACAACATCAGGGCGCTAGCTCCAGTAGCCTCACCAGAAAACATGACGGGCCTGTTCTGGATCATGAACAAGGAATGGAACTTGAGAACAGGTGAGAGAATACCAAGGAAGGGAATAGACTCGGACACTGCCAGACACCCTGCCCCATACTGGTCGGCCCTGATTCGGACCTGGAGAGAAATATTCCCGAAAAAGACCAACAGACCAGTGTCCAAAGATGAGGTGCTAAGACAACCGCTGTTCGGAAACGACTGGGTGAAAGACGAAAGTGATAACCCTTTATATCTAGACCACAAATGGCTGTCATGGGTCAAGAATGGGATATGGAAAGTAACCCACCTATGGAACGACGAAAGTAAACAATGGGTGACCGAACAGGAATCAAGCAATCTTTTAAAGGGCTGTCACAAAAAGTAAACAATGGGTGACCGAACAGGAATCAAGCAATCTTTTAAAGGGCTGTCACAAACGAGGGCTCAATCTCCAGCACATCATCAACTGTGTTCCTCAAGCCTGGAAAGATATCCTGAATGAAGCGGTGCCATGGAAGTTTGGAGGATGGGGAGTTAAAGTGCAAAAGACTTACCCATCGCGAGCTTTCCAATTCTCACACATGCAACCGGGCTCAGCCACCAAAGCCGTCTTCTCCTCCTTCCCAATCTCCCCGTCAAGCCAAGACATGCCATCCATACTAAATCAAGAAGTAGAAACCATAGTCATGGACTTCTTCCTACTTAGGAAAGTAAGAGTACTAGGCTCGTGGCCCAAACAAATTTTCAGATCAGATACGGCGTTAAAGAATCTGGAATTTGACCCGGCGGAATGGGAATAGGCAC